TAATAAACTTGCTCGACATCAGAGCTGAGAATGTTTCCTCTCCCAAGGCATAGAATGCTCTCATCAATTCCCAGCTTCAATTTAAATGACAGGGTACAAATAAAGAATAAAGTGGAATTTCCTTCATATTTCCCATCCATAACATTTATCAGGGCCTGGCGTGCTCAGGACACAAAGGTATTTGTGCAAGCAATGTAAATGTTACAGTTATTGCTTAGGGAAGAATTATATATGTAAGAACTATTTCAGGGGCCCTAAGAAAGCTATAAATTGCTGCTGTTCATCTTTTATTTGAGTTATGCTTATTATAAAAGAGAATTAAACAGAGTTTGCTTCAGTAATGAATGGGAAGTACCCGATATGGGTCTGGGCTGGTTTTTTCCCTGGGTGAATTTCCAGTAGTAGCTTCAGGACTCCTTTCCAAACCCTGCTTGACAAATCTGCTGAAGAAATGCCTCATTTTAAACCAGCAAAAGCAGTTTTTTAGCCTTGCTGTGTTTCCATGGGGAGCATCCATTCGATGGATGCACAAAACCAAGTTATGAATTACGTGTCTGTCATTGCCTTCGGGAACCACTCAAGTTTCTTTAAAGACTTTTAGTGGTATTCAAACATATGTGAAGAGCTTTTTTTTTTTGCTGCTTCACTGTCTTTGAGCATCCTCTATGAAACTCTGCAACTTTTCATGATTCTTTAAGATACTTGTGAAACTCTTCATTTTCTGAGCCTACAGGAAAGATGGAGAGAGACTCTTTATAAGGGCCTGGAGTGAAGGGATGAGAGGGAATGGCTTCCCACTGCCAGAGGGCAGGGATGGATGGGATATTGGGAAGGAATTGTTCCCTTTGAGGGTGGGGAGGCCCTGGCACAGGTTGCCCAGAGAAGCTGTGGCTGCCCCTGGATCCCTGCAAGTGTCCAAGGCCAGGTTGGATGGGGCTTGGAGCAACCTGGGCTAGTGGGAGGTGTCCCTGCCCATGGCAGGGGGTGGAATGGGATGAGCTTTAAGGTCCCTTCTATCCCAAACTATTCTATGATTCTGTGGAACAACCAAAACAGCATCTACACAGTCAAGGGGACGAATAAAAGATTCCAGCCCTGACTGATTTGCTTCAACCATCTTTTCTTGAAGCATCATCTTTTTCTCTGTTCATTTCCCCCCAAGCTTTGCGAGGCAAAATCTGCTTCCTGCTGCTGGGAATTCTAAGCACTGAGTTCATTTTCCTCTGCCACGTTCAGGAGACCTTGCAGAGGTGCAAAGACCAGAGCCAGAGCGGACAGTAACCTTGTAGGGGTGTGGGATGCAGGTCCCAGGTGTGGCACAGCACTTGAAGTATGAGAACCAGTGACCCATTCCCTCACTCCCTGTGGTCCTTCCCACCTGTTGCCTAGTGCCAAACATTTCCTTGGCTGCTGTAAGAAGGTGACTTTCTCCATTATTCCCAGGATGGATGATCATGTTGTTAGCAACACTGCTCCGTTCTGCAGTTCTGAATAAGCCTCTGTAATTAATTCCAGTTGTCTAATAAAGGCTATTTCAGAGCAGGGCTGAGACTGTGGTTTGCACAGAGCTCAGGCAAATCTTTGGAGCCATCTAATGGGGATATAAAAATGTGGAATTTAGTCAATAACCTTGGCTTGTAGCAGTTTGTGATGTTAGTGGCAGAACTGCTACTCTGTGCATCCCAGAGACACACAGGTAGCCAAGGGACTCCCATTTCATGTTAAAGGTTGGCATTTCAACCTTTCAACAAATGTTTCCTGTATTCAGGTGAAAAAGCAAGATTTTTGGGTATTCCCATGGTCTTTCTCAGTTCAGAGTCTGGTGTTGCTGCTTTAAAAGAAGGGAACCCAGGGGCACTGCTGCTCACCCAGAGTTTGCTTTGAGTGCTCCTCGTGATTTCATCCACTTTTGATCATTTGCTAAATTGTGGCTAATAAAAAAGGAAGATTATTTGAAATGTTCACCTGATTACAGTGAATTCTGAATTCACTGAATTCATCCACATCTGATAGTTTTCTAAACTGTAAATTTCTAAACTATAAACAAGGGATTATTTGAAACATTGATCTTTTGACAGGATCTTGTTTTAGTACCCCTGCAAGTTTAGGAAGAAGAACATTTTGTAAGATTTTGGGAACTAATTTTCCTTTTTGGCATCTCAATGAAGTATTTTTTTTCCCTTGCAAAATATTATTTCTTTACAAAAATCTTACTCCTTAAATTCATCAGTGGAAGTTTGACTTGACACTCAGTGACAAGAGGAGCAGTGGCCTGGCTGTGTTGGCTGGCAGGTAAAGGAAGTGCTTAAGATGAGTAAAGTATTGCCATCAATGTGAAAAATACTAAAAATTCTTATCTGTGAGTTGGGAAACAATTCCAAATATCTCTTCTCCTCCCTCCTTGTGTCTCTTCTTGTGAAATCCTCACAGAAGAGAAGACAGGCTGCAAATGCTCAGCCACAGCCCCTTTAAATTACCTTGAATGAAAAGAAATGTTTTCCAAATGGGAATTCCTGTCTCAAGCCCTGGTTTTTTAACACCACCTTTGTCTGAGTTTATTAAATGTGAGACTGTTTGTTACCCTGAGTTCTGTGGAATCATGTTATCCTTGGAAAATTCCATTTACATTCAGCGTGCATTGCACATCAGAGCAAATGTTCTGGAGCGTGTTTTGTGATGACAGTGATGCATAAAGTGCATTTCCCTTATAGAAATTGAACGTGGGAATGGCACTTTCTGAAGCAATTAGCAAATAAGTGAGCCTGAGCAAATAGAAGCAGCCAGCCTGAAAGGATCCTTGTGTTTGCTCAGTTCCAAATCCTCTGGATTCATTACTTTGGCAGTAGTAAGGGGTTGTCGTGTGCTGCTTCTGTGAGTTCGTGGGACACGGGGCAAACACAGCAGCCGGATTTAGAGCTGTGAAAAGAGGCAGCTCATTCCAGCCGGGCTGCTTTCCAGGGCTGAGGATCTGGGAGGTGAAGGAGATTGGCCTTTTACAGGATTCCTCCTGCAGAAAGTTATTGGATTGAACCGGCAGCGGAGGAAGGAAAGCAGGACTGAATGCTGCTAAACTGGGATGATGTTGGGAAGGAATTGTTCCCTGGGAGGGTGGGGAGGCCCTGGCACAGGTTGCCCAGAGAAGCTGTGGCTGCCCCTGGATGCCTGGAAGTGTCCAGGGCCGGGTTGGACGGGGCTTGGAGCAACCTGGGCTGGTGGGAGGTGTCCCTGCCCATGGCAGGGGTGGGACTGGATGAATTTTAAGGTCCCTTCCAACCCAAACCCTTCTGTGCTTCTCTGATTTTATTAAGAGAGTGAGGGCATTAGTTGTCCTTTGCAGGTGCTTTTCCCACATGGCAGATACAAGGAGATTTCTTCTTAATAAAAGTTGGATTATATTCTGCATTAATTGTGGGCAGTTACTGTGGGGGTGTATGTGACACTGCTTGGGGTTCATTCTGGGGGGAGGTACAGCACCAGAAGATGCTACTTTCCATTCAGATGTGTTGAGGGCTTTTTGGTTCTGTTTAGGTGTTGGTTTGTTTGGGTTTTTTTGTGTGAAACCATTGAGGTGTCACTCTCAGCCAGGTTGGTCAGTCTTGTACCTAAAGCAAGGGACTTTTTCTGGGGTTACACCTCCACTGTGTAATTGCTGTGACTGTAATGTCCTAAACATTTCATGGAATCCCAGAATCCCTGAGGTTGGAAAAGCCCTCCAAGGTCACCGAGTCCCCCCTGTGCCCGATGCCCACCTTGTCCCCCAGCCCAGAGCACTGAGTGCCACGGCCAGGCCTTCCTGGGACACCTCCAGGGATGGGCCCTCCAAACCTCCCTGGGCAGCCCCTGCCAAGGCCTCACCACCCTTTCCATGGAGAAATTCCTCCTCCTGGCCAACCTGAGCCTCTCCTGTCAGAGCTGGAGGCCGTTCCCTCTCCTCCTGTCCCTTGTTCCCTGGCAGCAGAGCCCGACCCCCCCCGGCTCCCCCCTCCTGTCAGGGACTTGCAGAGCCAGAAGGTCCCCCCTGAGCCTCCTTTTCTCCAGGCTGAGCCCCCCCAGCTCCCTCAGCTCCTCCTGCTGCTCCAGCCCCTTCCCCAGCTCCGTTCCCTTCCCTGCACATGCTCCAGCCCCTCCGGGTCTCTCCTGCCATAAGGGGCCCAAATTTCCCCCAGTGTAGCTTGATGCAAAGCAGATCCATATCCAAAGGCATTTAAACCCAGGAAAACTGATTTAAGACACTGTGTTGGGTGAATTGATTTAAAATTCAATAATGTATCAATGACAACAATGTATTAAATACAACAATGGGGGGGATTGTGTCTGGGACTCTCAGTGTGTGGGAGAAGTGAAAAAGGATGTGACTCAAGCTGTGAAGATCCACAAGCAAAGTATTTCCCTCTCCAGCTGTGTTTGATTGGGATAGAAAAATTTCCACAGGAGCACAGACACGTTTTGTGGACGTTTTATGTGTGTAAAAGACAGTTAATTAGGCTGTTCCCACGAGGCACCTCTCTGGCTGCTAAAATTGGTGTGGTGGGGCATAAAGCACATCAGTGTGGGGTGGGGGAAGGAGGGTGCAGGAGGATGAGACAAGATGATTGTGCCACCTCAGGGTCTGACTGATCCGCTCAGCTCATCATCACAGGAGCATATTTGGATTGATAAAGTCACTAATTTCTTTCAAAATTTATTGTTCTGGCAAATTTTGATTTTTCTGGAATTTTTGGGGGGGATTGGAAGCTCCTTAAGTCCTTTAGATGAGGTGTAAGAATAAAGGTATCTGATGTCCTTTGTTTAATATATTATTCAATCTCAAGCCTTTTTTGTCTGATAAGAATGGAAAGATTAAAAGAAATTCTTCAAATTAATGCTGCTTCCTCTGTCACAAATTGATCATCTGTTTACCTGTGATTCTGTACTGGTCAGGTCTAATAAATAACAATAATTTTTTCACCTGAGAAACTGTAAAAGAGATAATTTGTTCATAGTGTTATTTTTCTCCTTAGACCTCAACTGCTACTGTCAATATAGTGGTGACAGATGTGAATGACAACGGACCAGTTTTTGACATGTTTCTACCCAAAAACCTCTCTGTGCAGGAGGAGGAAGCCAATGCTTTTGTTGGTCAAGTTAGGGTAAGTCATTTAAATCGTTTATTTTATTACCCAAACTGTCCAGACAGTTAGGAAAGAGCATGAAATAATTGTGCCTCAGGCAAAATCCCACCAAAATGTCAAAAGTTTAAATGCAAACTGTCCATTTTCAGATGTATTTGTGGTAACAAAGTCATGTTTTGAGCTTTAAAATATAGAACTGTGCTTTAAAATACGGAATTGATTGTTTTCTTTGCTATGTTTAATAGCTGAAAACACTTTTTCATGTAAAAATAACACATTAAAACCCTGGGGTTTTTTTAAGAAATGCCACTGTAAAAACTCACTTGTCACAGATTTCCAGTGTTAAAACATTGTTCTCATGTTTTTAAACTCTTACTGGTTTCTTTTTAAATAATTTCCTACCATAAAGAACAAGTGACACCCAGCTATAGGAAATTGTCACACATATGGAACATTTTAAGGCCATTAAGGTGAAAACCAGTTAAAACCTTGACTGAAATAATTGATTACCTGCTGTAAAAATAGATGTTGCTTGGGGGTATTGCTAATTTGAGGGATTTGAAGCTGTGTAAATTTTTATAACACCTGTGAGTCTTGTGAACTCCTGGCTGCAGATTCAGTCACTTGAAGCAAACATTGCTTTTTTTTTGGGGGGGGCAAAGTCATTTTTTTCCAGCATCAGGTGCAAGAAGAAAGTGTGAAGGAGTTGTTTCTGTGGGGTTTTGATGCCCAGTAGTTGAATGTAATGTTTTATATCTATGTAATGTAATGTTTATATCTATGTAATGTAATGTTTTATATCTGCTTAACACTGAGGTTGGATGCAGCATGAGCTGTAGGTAAAAGATGAATTTGAAAGCAAAGTTTTTTTAGGAATTTAAGTGAAAAATCTACCTTTTTTTTTTTTCTTTTTCTGTAGTAGCAGCCATATAAATAGAAAATGGGAGCTCCTTAACTCGTACCTTCAGGAAGAACAGGACATTTTGAGTACCATGGGAACCATCTTGGGTAGCATATATCCATAATGAGCATGGGTTTTTTCCCAATTTGTATTATTTAATAAGACATCAGAGACTGGTCTGAAGCCTGGGACATGGGGAATTTAGGATCCCTCACTGCAATTAAATCAGGTTTCACAAATTGTTGAGTTATTGCTTTGGTTTTTGGCATTGCCTTCGTGTGTGGTGGTTTTTCATTTTGCCTGCTAAAATGCACGGGTGTAACAGTTCAAATCAGTACCAAATATCTTTAAAATCCATTTTGGGTTGTGCTGGGGGCCCTCAAGGCTCAATCATCCTCTCAAACACAAGGGTGGATGTATATTTAGCTTCGATGGAACTATAAAATATAACAACTTATCGGCACAGAACCTCTCTGTCTTCTAAATTAGTGGGATTTCTGAGTTGTGTTGAAGTGAAAATATTTCCTGAAGCCTTGGGATCTCTTGTTCCCAGTTGTGGTGTGACAAAAACTGGTTCTACCATTTCCAGTCATGGTTAACACCAGTCTCTTGGCAGAGAAAGCTTTCTCTTTATAGCACAAATACTGGATGTCGTTCCTGTTGTTTCATGTTCACAAATGCAAATCAATGTAGAAATATCCTTTGGAAAAACCGTTCCATGGTACAGAAAAGAGAGATTTGGGCATTTGGAATTTTTTTTCTGGCTTCAGCGAGGTTGTTGAAATAATGTTGGTGTGTGTTTCGGTGTAGCTGTGTTGTTTGAGGATATTCCTCTTTAAAAACTGAAATAGCTTTTGGTGTGTTGTGCTTCGCTGTACAGTAGAACCACGGCGGGTATGGGAGAGGTTTCTGTGGGAATACAGTTTGTATAGAAGCTTTAATGTGGTTAAAATATACATAAAGGCCTATCTGAGGTGAGAATAGCCTGGTAAAAGAACATGAACTTGTTGTGATGTGTGTTTTCCCTCCCAAGAATCAACCCACTGACTACCAAGCTTTTCAGAATGTCTTTTACTACATTTATTTCAAACAGAAACCTGAAATCCTCCAGAACAAGAGTGACATAGATGATTAAAAAAAAAAAACAAACAGGTTTTTGGAGTGTCCCTTTCCCTTTGGAATGTCGTTGTCCCGTTTTGCACAGGGAAAAACAGAGCAAAAGATTTTTCCCTTCAGATCCCAGAAGATCTGGCCCTGCTGCTCCTTGAGGCAGAGGACCTGATGGTGAAGGATATGGAAAAGGTGCTCAGCCACTTTGGTCCCTCAGGATCTTTTACACGTGGGGTTTGGTGTCAGGATCATCACCTGCCTGAGCTCAGATGGGGTTGGGTTGGGAGGGACTTCAAGCTCATCCCACCCCCTGCCATGGGCAGGGACACCTTCCACTGGCCTAGGTTGCTCCAAGCCCCGTCCAGCCTGTCCTTGGACACTACCAGGGATGGGGCTATAAACAATTTGGGGTATAAAACAATTAGTTTGGACACTCCCATTAATAATTTACCACAGACAAGAGTTTTCTGTGCCCTGCTTTGTTTTGAGTGGGAAAGTTGGACTTCAAAGGGGATTCCCATAAGGGCTTAGGTGGCATCTGGGAGGTTGTTTCCCAAGGAGATGTAGAACAAGGGCAGTGAAAGATTTCCTGTGGGAGAGGGGAGGGTTTGTTCCTGCAGTCAGGCAGGATCCACACTCCGGAGTGCTCTCACTCTCCAGCACTCCAACAGCTCTGTCTGCCAGTGGAGTTCAGTTCCTGAAGGCACTGGCACAGGAGTTCTGCCTGTGGGGGGGTTGTGGAGCAGACTGAGGATTAAAAGAACAAAAACCAGGCTGGCAGTGGAGGAGATGTCTTTCCAATCCCTTTTATTTTGCACTGCCTTGTCTAAATTGGGGCAGTCAGGGGTGGATTGGATTCCCTGCTGCTCCCTCACGTCTGATCCCGGGGATGCCCCGAAAGGCAGCGGGAGAATTGCTGCATGAAGGTCTCTACAAAGGAGCAAGGGGAAGCAAAAAGCTGCAAATGGGAAACTTGACAGTGAAATTCAGGCAATTCATTGAGTCTAAAACATGCTGAAGGCAGGGCATTGGAATGATTTGCCTTGTGCAGTGCTCTGTTATCAATACCAGGGGCATGGGAGGGAAAGCATGGAATGACATAAATGTCATGAAGGGATCAATGTATCGACTGCAAAATCTGCTGGCAGGTTCACAGTCCTGATCAGGGAAAACGAGCCCCAAGTAGTTTGTTGCAGACTCAAAGTGCAGTCTCTGGTTAAAGAGGAAGCTGTTGAGCTCATGGGGCCCAGGAGAGGGAAGACATCACTGGACTGAAGGTTCTATTCATTTATTTTTTAATATATATCTCGAGATCCCTTCACTCCCCCCTATCATTTGTTTGTTGATGGTGTATTTTTGTGATCAGCACTGTTTGAAATCTCCAACTTGAATGTGTTGGTATCAAGGGGAGACAGCGCTGGGGAAGGAAATTAGAAGGAAAATAGAGATAAAGAGTTATGTGGTGGTGGGGAAACCACTCCTTAATCAGATGCTCAAGTATCACTGACCTTAGATCATCCCTGAGATGGAGACTGTATAAATACATTGCAGTACTGAGAGCAGTTTGCAGTGTGTGTGATACCTCTGTCACCTGCTTCTTTTTAAAGGATGAAAAAAATGCTTAAAGGAAGTTGCTCTTTAGAAGTGGAGCTATTCTACCTCCTGGAAAAGGGTTTTGGAGGCCGTTCTTTGATTGTACTGCACAATGGAAATATTTTGCTCTTCTTTTGACATAATAAATGTGAAATCATACCTGTGGTAGAAATCCAATAGCCCAGAGCAAAGTCAGGCAAAACTAAGACAAAACTAAGTGGGTGAGACAGAGATATCCTGTCTGGCACCAGTCTACTGATCCTAGACATTGCTTTTTAATGGGAAAGAAGTATTTTAAATGCCTTGGGTAAAGAAGCAAACTCACTCTTGAATGCTGATGAAAGGTAATTATGTCACCAATTTCCTTGCAGAGCTGTCTGTCTGTGGGTATCAGTGAATTGTGACAAGTTCTTTTTTGACAGAGGGCTGGAGCAGCTCTGCTGGGAGGAAAGGCTGGGAGAGTTGGGATTGTTCAGCCTGGAGAGGAGAAGCTTTGGGATGGGTGAATTGTGGCCTTCCAGGGCCTGAAGGGGATGACAAGAAACAGGGAGAGAGACTATTTACAGGGCCTGGAGTGACAGGACAAGGGGGAATGGCTTCAAACTGACTGAGAGTAGGTTTAGATGGGATATTGGGAAGGAATTCCTCCCTATGAGGGAGGTGAGGCCCTGGCACAGGTTGCCCAGAGAAGCTGTGGCTGCCCCTGGATCCCTGGAAGTGTCCAAGGCCAGGTTGGACGGGGCCTGAAGCAACCTGGGCTAGTGGGAGGTGTCCCTGCCCATGGCAGGGGGTGGGCTGGGATGGTCTTTAAGATCCCTTCCAACCCAAACCATTTCTGTGATTCAATTTTTATTTAAATTCACAAGGCTCAGGATTTACAGCCCAGTTTAAATTTCACAGATGTTGGTGAGGCTTGTTGTGTTGGGCTAAATGACCTCTGGAGACCCCTCACAACTCATTGATTCTGTCTTTCTATAGGCAGGAAATCTTCTTCCAGTGCTGGTGAAGTATTACTGCCCATGCCCATGGCAGGGAGCTTGGAATGAGATGATCTTTAAGGTCCCTTCCATGTAACATTACAAGATCTTGGGAAGAAGTCCAGAAAGGAATCCCACTTTACTCAAATCACTGCATTTTGAATTCATGTAATATATGTAAAAACAATATAAATCAGAATCCATAAAAATCTAATCAGAACCTAAAATCAGAGAATCATAACGTGGCAGATGGACCACAACCAGAGAAAGTTCAGACTTAGGTTCTTGTAAGTGGTTGATCCTTTGGATAGAACCTTTGTGGTATCATTTTCTTCCATGTTTACTAAGAAAGCTGCCTACAGGTTAGGTTAGATAGGACTTAAGGACTTTAATAGGACTTTGAGCACCATCTCCCATAAGATCCTCATAGAGATGAT